TGCAGACCGCGGGCTCCTCTCGCCCTGCCCGGGGCGGGCCCAGGGGCCCGGGGCTCCCCGCCTCCGCCGCCGGCGGCTGGCTGCTTACGTCAGGGAGGCAAAACCCATAAGAAAAACGAAAAAGGCACCAGGGCGGAAGGAGAAAAACTTTATTTTTTTTTTCCCCTCGTTTTCTCCTCGGCGCTGGAGCGACGGGCGGGTGACTGCGCCAGCGCGGGCTTCCCGGAGCGAGCCCGCCGCAGCACCACTCGGCGGCGGCGCGGAGGAGCCCGGCCCCGGGCTGGCCCGACGGGACGCCCAGCATGTGGGACCCGGAGGAGTTCGTGCGCCACTGGCAGGCCGAGTTTCCCGGGGAGCAAGCTCCAGTCATGAGGCTGGAGTCGGTGCTGGACATGGAGCGCGAGCTGGAGTGCTGCAAACTTAACCTGAAGCGACTGCAACAGGTGTTGGCCGAGGAGAAGTTCAAAGTCTTGTACCTGGAGACCGCTCTGGCCGGGGAGAAGCTGGACCAAGGCCGCGGGCGCGCGGAGGGCGGAGACAGCCGCAGCGGGGGACCCTCGGCGGAGGAGCCGGAGCCTGCAGACCAGGAGGAGGGCGCAGCGGGCGGCGGCGGAGACGCCCTGGACCCCGGGCGCCCGGACCAGGAGGAGGTGGCGGCGAAGGCCGAGCCAAACCCCTACTTGTGCCTGGACCTTCCCCCCGGGCCCCGAGTGGCGGAGGGAGGGGGCGCGGTGCTCAGCTTGACGGCCGCCATCCACCGGCAGCTGCTGCAGCCTCGCCTCCTCTTCAGGCCCCGGGAGGGCTGCGCGCCCACTGGCCGCGATGGCCCTGTTTCCCACGCGCCGGGAGAGGAGCGGTCCTTGGGGACCTGCTCGGGGCGGGGCTCGGAGGAGGGCGAGCCAGACGCCTGCGTTGCGGACGATGGGGGCGACAGCAGTGACCACGACTTCGAGATGGTGGATTTGAACGAGAAATTCGCCCTCGGCCACTTAGTGGTGGCCCCCTATCGGTTCGGGACCCGCGATGAGCCGGAGAAGCCGGCGCGGGCGTGCAGCCCCCACCGCTGGATGCATCTGATACCCGGGTGCCGGCGGCACCGGCATCAGGGCCGAGACCCGGAGCCAGTGGAGGCGGAGACCAAGGACAGTCGGGCCTCCCACCTGACTGAGGATGAACCCCCCAGGCGCCGGGCCCGCGAGCACTTTCCCCATTGGGGGCGCAAGAGGTTCCTGCGTGTGCCAGAGCGGGACTCGCCCAGTCACAGCTCTCCGGAGAGAGGCAGCGACTGCAGCCACAACAGCTCCGACCACGAGGACGGCTCCTCTGCAGGTAGGCGCATCTTTCTCTAGATCCCGGCCCCACGCCTCCTTCGTGTGCTAGCACCCCTTCCTTGGTGGTCCCGTTTAACCTCAAGCACCTGGGAATAAGGGGGTGAGCTTTGCCTCGAATTTAAAGCCACTTGTGGAACTTTTAAGAGGAGTGCAAATCGAATCTTGGGTTTGGGCGAGCTCCTGAAAGTAAGCATGATGGCGGTGACAGAGTGACGGAATGGGGTGCCTGGCCAGACCAAGGGGGAAACCTCTTACATCTGCCCTCAGCCTTTCTGCTGACTACTGCAGCTCACTCAACCCCAGCCCCACCTCCAGCCCTCCCTCAGGTTCCTCAGATTCCTTTGTGCCGCCCTGCTGGGGCCTGTGCATTTAAATTCCCCTTTCCCCCCAGATTCCTTAGTGCGGAAGTCTAACGTTCAACTTTATTTTTTTGAACATACCTTGCCTCCAGAGAGGGCACTTTATGCAATTTGATAGCCTAGAGGAGGTGCTGGATTCTAATTTGCATTAAGATGTTCTACAGACTAGAGTCCTTCAAGAGGAGAGATCACTGGCAGAATTGCAAATCATCCCCTGGGGAAATCCTAGAGCACTGGGATTCACCCTGCATCTGGTGCAGGATTCCCCGAGGAAGGGTACATAATGCTCACTACCCTGCCTTGGCTGACTCTTCCTTTCCTAGAAGGCTGCGCTGGGTCTGTCAGCTTCCAAGGAGCCTGGGAGCCTGAGAGAGAGGATAAGGCTTAGGATCACAGTTTTGCAGCTGGCCTGGTTCTCTGAGATCCTTTCTAGTGCAGCACCTTCATTTGATAAGGGAGGAAGCTGAAATCCAGAAAGATTAAATGCTTGTCCAGGTGAGCTGAGGGCTTCGGTAGAGCCTTCTTTCCTCTGTTGTTTTTGCCTTCTCATCTGCCCTCTTTGCTGAGGACAGGGCCTGCTCCTATCATCTTTGAATCCCTTTGTGGTGGCCGGCCCAGTGGTCAATAAATATTTGTTAAAAAACATGATTGTGGCTGGGCCTGGGAGTGCACACCTGTAATCCCACACTCAGGAGGCTGAGGCAGGAGGATCGGTGTGAGTTCGAGACCAGCCTGGGCTACAGAGTGAACTCAAGGCGGGCCTGAGCTGCATAGCAAGACCCTGTCTCAAAAAGACAAACAAAACAAAACAACCATGATTAGATTGAATTGAATGGCTGCCCAGTTCTTCATAGGTGAGGGAGTAGAAGTGGGGTTTCGGAGGAAAGGTCAGATGGGGATGTGGGGTGGCAAATGACTGCCCCTTTGCTACATCTGGCCACTGTTGGGGTCCCCTCAGCCACACGAAAAGCATCCACTAACAGTTGATGCAGCCAGAAACTTAAGATGCCTTTCTGCTTAGTGAAGGAGAAAAAGAAAGAAAGAAGAAATCACTGATGCTGGGGTTGTTCCAAAATCTCCATTATTAGATCTCATCTGAGTTTGCATCTGAATAAAAAAAAACTGCCCACTCTGCTAAAAGCACATTTGGAAGGTCCATTGAGTCATCTGTTTTGATCAATTACGCTTATTCATTAGCAGAGATTGGCTTTTGCCACCCTTGCTAGTAACATTTATTATGTGTCCCCTTAACTTAAAGCAAGAGTCTGAAGATTTCACTCTGCTGCCAAGTTCCAAATGCCTTTAGTGGAGGCGACCCAAATGGCCCCAGCTGCTTCAGAGCTGGCTCCAATCCCTTCTCCCTTGAGACCCACATCAGTCACTCTGTCAGGTGTGCCTAGTATACTGGATTTTCCCCTGGGAGTGATTTTTTTTAATTCCGTGAGCCGTCTCCGTTCCCTAAGGACACTCTAGCACATAGGGCACCTTCATGCAAATTAGAATCCAGCACCACCTCTGGGCTGCCACATTCCAAAAGGTGTCCCTCTGGGGAGACCAATAATAAGCAGATTCTCCTTCCTCGGGACTAAAGACTCCAGCCAGGGTACTTATCTGGCGCTCATGGCTTTGACTAGTAATGCCGGGGGTATATTTCAGGCTCTACACCAGACCCCTTCTGCAGGGCAAGCTGTATAGGGACCCCCTGCACAGCTGCATGTGGAGGCCCTGCCTGTCTTCAAAACCTCTCAGTGAGGAAGTGGATGTAGGTAGACATGCACTTGCATACATGTATGCATACACATGTATATGTATATTGACACATGTACATGTATATGCACTGTACATGTGTATGCACAGTACATGCATACAGCAGGACACAGAGCCTTCAAACATACAGGGAGGCATTTGTGTAAAGTGATTGAGGATGGAGATTTTAATACCGCAGGTGACATCCTAGTAGAATCAGTATAGCAAGCACTGAAAGCATCCTGAATCTTTCTTGGCCACACTTAGCCCTCCCAGCTTATTTTTCTCCGTAGCATTCATTAGATTACCACCTCAGATGCTAGAGCTTTGCATGTGGATCTGATTCACTTTCTTTCTCTGGAGAAATGTGAGCTGCAGAAGGGCAGAGATGTTTGTCTCTTCCATTTACTGATGTAGCTGGAGTCTGGAATGGTGTCTAGCATATATACAGTATTTTATGTTCAAGAAGTATTTGTTGAGTAATATGTTTGTTGTTTTTTTGAGACAGGGTCATTCAGGCTGGCCTTGAACTCACTATGGAACTTAGGCTGGCCTTGAACTCTCAGCAGTCCTCCTGCCTCAGCCTCCTGAGGGCTGGGATTACAAGACTGTACCACCATGCCCAGTGTGGTATATGTTTTTAATGGGATGAATGGGATAGAAAACGTCAGGGTTGGGGATATAGCTCAGTGACAGAGACCATGCTTAGTGTGTGTAAGCCCTGGGTTTAATAATACCTAGCACCAAAAACAAAAACAAAAGTAGCTAGGTGTGGTGGCACACCATTAATCACAGCTACTTGGGGCTGAGGCAGGAGGATTACAGGTTTGAGAGGCCAGCCTGGGTAATTTAGCAAGACTCTTGTTTGAGAATAAAAAGGATTGGAGATGTAGCTCAGTGGTAGAGCACCCTTGGGTTTAATCTCCAGTAATGGGAAAGCTATAACATCATCAGAGAGTATTGCCCATGCTAAGGTGAGTATTATTCTGTTGTAAAATTTTATTGCTGGGTATGGTGGCACACACATGTAATCCCAGCACTTGGGATGCTGAGGCAGGAGGGTCACCACCAGTTTGAAGCCAGCCCAGGGTTCATAGTGAATTCACAGCTAGCCTGAACTACATAGCAAGATACTATCTTTAAAAATAAATAAATAAAATAAATTTGTTTGAATTATACATGTGAAAATATACACTGGGGACTGATGGAAAATGTATTTCCTGCTGTGGGCTGGACAGAAAGGTGTGCAAACATTAAGACCATAATTTTTAAATCTTTTTGTGTGGCCCTGGGAGAAGCTATTTGTATTTTCTATGTCTCATTTTCCTCATCTGTAAGATAGGGCTAATAAGCACTACTTACAGCATACTGTTTTTTGTTGTTGTTTGTTTTTTGAGACCAGGTCTCATGAAATTCAGGTTGGCCTTGAACTTGCTATGTAGCCCAGGCTGGCCTTCAATTCACAGCCATCCTGCCTCAGCCTTCCAAATGCTGGGATTACAGGAGTGCGTCATCATGCCTGGATATATTGTTCCTATGGGAGTAAGTGGGATCTTATCTGTAACGGGCCTTGAATAGGTTCTGGGACATATTAAGGAATCCAGGAGTGCTAACTAACTATTGCTACAGGTTGTTTTTCCTTGAGTTGACTATTCGCAGCTTCCTGCTCTCAGATCATTCTTGGTCACAAATGGTTTGGTCATCTGTAATGCATTTTTTTTCCAACACACTGTTTGACTCCTTCTAGAACCTGGCAGCTGGTCAGGAACCAGGGCAGGGTGGTAATCTTGGCTTATGAGGCTCTTTGGTTGGATTGATCCTTATACTGTTTTTCCCTCCCTGCTTTGGATCACACCCATCATCTGTATCCAGAGGACTTAACCAAAGGGCAGTTTTTATGAGGCAATAACAGGTTTTGCCTTACTCCAGCTCAGGGTTTCAAGGAGATAGGTCCATGAAGCTTTATGTAAAAAGACCCAAAGGCAAAGGGGCTTTCCTCCTTGGAAATGGGCTCTTTTCTCTTAAATGAGGGGCAGATCCCTAAACCAACACACGTTTGAGGTTTCTTTCCATACACAATAGCAAAATCAAGAGTTTAACTAAGTTAGGATTTCAGGTTACTTAGTGTCTTTTAGCCTTGATTACAGCCTTGATTGGTAGCAGGGAGGACTAGGCCACGTTAGGACTGGCATGGTTAGGGCTGTGGGATGTGGTGGTGTGAGTGCGGGTGGGGCCGAGAGACAGCAGCTGCGGGGTTGTGTGTGCTGTGCAGTTAGACCCCTGCCTGTGACCTGGCCCTGCCGTGACCAGGTGTGAGGCCATGGGCTCCTTCTGTCTCTCAGGCAGGAAAAGCAGGAATAGCTACTTTTGCCAGCTCCTGTTCAGGGCACTTTATCCATATTAATTCGTTTATACCACACAACAGCTTCACAAGACAGGCACTACTGTTATGTGACCTGGAGAGCTTACATAGTGCTCCCCAAAGTTACCCAGCTGATATAGGGAGCACTTAGATTTGAACCCAGGCCATCTGGCTCCCAAGCCCATACTTTCAAATGCTAAGCTATGCTGCCTCAAATATTACCGCTGGGGAGACTTCAAGAAGATTCACTACAAGAAAATATTTAAACTGGGCATGGTCGCATATGTCTATAATTCCAGCGCTCTGGAAGGCTGAGGCAGGATTGCAAGTTCAAGACCAGCCTGGACAACTTAGTGAAACCTTGTCTCAAAATAAAAAAAGCTTGTGGGTGTAGCTCAGTGTGAAGGCTCTGAGTTCAATCCTCAGTAGTGAAGGAAAAAAAAAAGGAAAGAAAGAAAAAAACAGAAAGTATTTAAAGACTTTAGCAAAGCACTTGGCTTTTAGTGACTGCGGAGTGAATGTGTGTGTGTG